GTCATTCCAGATGACAGGCCAGTGGTTCTCAAAGTGTGGTCCCTGGACAGGATACATCACCACCACCTGGTACATGTGAGCCATGCGAATTCTCAAGCCCCCCCACAGACTCAGAAACTGGAGATTAAGCCCAGAAATGTGTTTTAGCGGTCCCTCCGGGTGTCTCTGATGCACTTTAAGTTTTGATAATGACTGCCACAGGCAGATTGTGGACCTTTGGGCTGGAAAATGTCTTCAAGTTTGACACCAATTCTATCCATTTGTCCTTGGACTAACCCTCCCCTGTGCCTGGCTATCTTATTTGCATCCCTACCCTGGAACTGGGGGTGCCATGGAGATGAATGTCCTTCCAAACACTGTTGAGAGGAGAGAGAGTGGGAAGGAGCCAGAAAACCGACACCAAAATGAGGCCCTTTGCTTTAATAAACGAGAGATCTTACTTATGTCAGGAGACAGAGGCTGAAATGCTCAAGAGATATTAGGTTGGTGCAAATGTAATTGTGATTTAAAAGGTTAATAATAATTGCATAAACCGCAATTACTTGTGCACCTTTCTCATAGTTGCAACACTGAACACCACGTGGCGCCTCCTCCGTTTTGTCCTCACGGTGGTCGCCTTAGTTCCTGCAGCTCCTGCCGAAGATGTTGTCTTTAAGTTGTCTACACAGAGAAGAGGACTGAGTGCTTTACCAGACAGAATACAGCACCGTTGTTGCGTGGGGCATGCGGAAGTAGGAGAGACTATCTGCATCTCTCCAATTCTGCACTGGCTCCTGCAATTTCCATGTTTACTTGCGCACTTTTTCACATACCAACCACCTGTATAAAGGAATCATATACACCATTTAGACCAGAGGTGTGTCCCAAAAGATAAAAATAACAGTAGTTTTTTGAACACTGATTATTCAAGTCCCTTACCAGTTGCTTTGTTTTACTTTTCCTAATCATGTAGACTTGCTCTGAGAATTAAGTGAGATTTTATAAACATATGCACAGAGTTTTTTTATATATGTATGAGCCAAAATTCTGCATATAAACACATGCCAGGTATCTATTTCCCAGTATTTTACATGGGAAAATATATAACACATTATTATGAGTATGAAACTCCAAACCAATTTCAGAAAATATATTTAACATACACATTGACACCTAAATAGAAGTTAAAAAGCTATCATTTTAAAATACGAAATGCTCATATTATCTCACTGTTACCTAAACACACATGGCTTTGTTGATGCTTGGTGAGATTTTCAAATTATCTTTACATGTTTCTGAGGTCCTACAAATTGTATTTAAAATGTAACTCTACATTTGTCTTATATATTGTCTTGTTAAACATAAATATAATTTTTATTTGTATCTATATGTAGATATACATATATAGCTATACCTATGTAACATTGAGATATAAGTACATTCTACAAAATTTTGGAAATAAAAAACCAAAAGCCATGGTGAATAATGAATAAACCTGAGTGTGTTAAACTTGGATAATTCTA